ACCCTATAGATTCATAAAATGCAAATAAAAAAAAAATCATCGAATTTGATTAGATGGTTGCTGAGAAATCGCAACAAATCACGTATTTTATCAAAAATAAATCATTTTGCAAATAGCGATAAACAAGCTAATTTTGAATCATATTAAACTATAAGAAGCAAAATATCGGTAATATATACCATATTATACAGTATTATACGGTATTATACCTGGTATTATACTACCATTTATATTATACCGGTATAATAAAAACCTTAAGTACAACACATATTTACACATGACATGACGATCATCATATAACACAAACGCGTAAGTATGCATATTTTTGTTGCAAATTTGAAAAAATTTCCAAATTACATTTCTAATATGATCTTCATAATATTTATGTGGCTTCATCAAAAAGATAACCACATGCATCAAAAACGTAATTTTTACATCACTTTGCATAAACACTCCATTAAGTATGTAAACTCCAGAAATATAATCTAAAAGAAATGGAACAAAAGAAATGCAAGTGTATGAGAAAATAAGGTCTCAATTGAGCGTTTAGATTAGATCTTTTTTTTAGATTTGTGATAATGTTTACACAGCTATAACTTAAAATTTTCTATATAATGACAACGATAAGGGCGATGCTAATTTAATTTCCAATTCATATTAAATTTTTTAACTCGGTCAAATGTCTGTTTCCCGTGAACTTGGTAAAACGGGCGTTAAGATTCCAGTTATTGGACTTGGATGTATGGTATGAAGTTAAAGTCATAGCAACTTAAGCTGAAATTCTGCTATTTTATTATAAAACATTCCGGCGCGTCTATGCAATATTTGATTCCAAATTTAAATATAAACCCGAAAGAATTTTGGACATCTTTCTAACACCTCTTTAAACATAGAAATCTATAATGGAGGGAACCAATAGAATGAGACAAAACATCTTTAGTGGCTTTTTTTTTAAAAAAATTAAACTAAGATATCTCAACAACTACCAAACAAAATTTAATAAAATATTTTTTATTCTATAATATCTAGAATTAAAATAAAATAAAATAAAAAATTTATTAAATTTGTTTGATAGTTGTTGAGATATTTTAAAGTTTAAAAGACTTTAGAAGAAATTTGACCCATTTCTATTGACTTCCTCATATATTGTTACACCTAATCTTGAACACAATAGTAGCAGATTTTGGGTTTTTTTCAACATAAGCAGCCGCATTTATTATACGCATATGAATAACTGAATATATCTGATATAGATTAATTTTCTTTATTTAAGGGAATGAGTGAATTTTATGGATCAACCGATGAAGAGGAAAATTTAAAAGTATTAAATCGTGCGATTGATATAAAATGCACCTTTTGGGATACCGCAGTAAGCATAATTTTAATCGTGCTACATAATTATTTGCATTAAAAAAAATTTTACTCTACGTGAAACGAATATTTAACGAATATTCATTCTGTAAATTAACTTAATGTAAAGTGAAATTTTTTTTTTAATGTGAATACTGGGTATATAATATAATAAATATACACACGTAATATAGTACTATAATTTATTTTCTCGTAAATCATCAAGGACATGTATGGACCTGGAAAAAATGAGATATTACTTTCAAAGGTTCTTAAAGATCGACGTAATGAAGTTTTTCTTTGCACAAAATTTGGTAATGTTCGCGGAGAAAACGGAGAATTTTTAGGAGTTAAGGGGACGCCAGAATATGTTCACGAAGCATGTGAAAAAAGTTTACAAAGATTAGATGTTGATTGTATTGATCTCTATTATCAACATCGTGTCGACAAGAACGTGTAAATAGATTTTTATATTAATGTTGATTGACTAACAATAATAATAATAATAATAGTAATAATAAAATCTATCCTAATGCAGACCAATTGAAGATACAGTTAGAGCTATGGCTGAACTAGTTAAACAGGGCAAAGTTAAATATTTAGGACTTTCCGAATGCTCAGCTAATACGCTTCGCCGCGCTTATAAGATTCATCCAATCGCTGCTGTTCAGGTATGCAATTTTACTAAATAGTTTATGTTATAAGCTAGTAAACGATGCTATATTTGTATTGTGCCTTTAATTATACATAGATTGAATATAGTCCATGGTCTCTTGACATCGAAACAAATGGACTTAAAGAAGTTTGTGAAGAACTTGGTGTTACAATTGTCGCGTATAGTCCATTAGGACGTGGTTTTTTATCGGTATGCTTTTTTTTTTTGTTTTTTTTATGAAAAAACATTACATAATACAAATGGTAGTTAATATTACTAATTTCATTATTAATTACAAATACATAGGGAAAATATAAATCCGAAGAAGATTTTGAGCCTGACGACTTTCGTAGAACACAACCCCGTTTTACAGGAGAAAATTTTGTAAAAAATTTAGAACTTGTAAAAGAAATTGAAAAGTTGGCCAAAAAGAAAGGTGTTACTTCTAGTCAACTTTGTTTGTCATGGGTTTTAGCTCAGGTATATAACAATTCTATATTCATTATATAAAAAAGTTAGTTCATAATTAAGCATTCTGATTTTCTGTGATTTCTGTGATTCTGTTAAATTAGGGTGAAAACATTGTTGCAATTCCCGGTACTAAAAAAATTAAATACTTGGAAGAAAATTTTCAAGCCGCTAATATTAATTTAACCTCTGAGGAGTTGGCTGAAATTCGAAAAATTATTAATTCTATTGGAGTAGCCGGAGGTCGATATAGTGAAGCAGCAACAAAGGTAAAGTATATTTTGGAAAACACACATTCCGGATATTCCACTTTACACAGCAGGTATTGATAAGCCATATTCTGTGAAGTGAAATATCCGAAACGAGATTTCATTTTCGTTTGGCTATGCTAATTATTCTTAAATAAAAAATTTGATATGCGTGCGTACATATCTATTTATTAGCATTTGGATTTCTAAATATATTATACGAAAATTTTAATGAAATCCCAATTCTATCTGTAAGTGTAATATTTTCCAAAATTTTGAATTTTATAAATCCATGAAAACTTTTATTACGTTTCGATTTAGCACACGGTGAACATAATACGGAAGTTCTCTATGAAAAAGAATAGAATATTACAAGAGTCTGGGAATATGCTATAATAAGAGTTATGGGATAAATACTATAAAGGTTTAAACTAGTATTGTTAGCCAAATTTATTTTGATTGTTCCAATCACGCAAAAAATCTATAAAATTCTTTTAAAATTTTCATTTTTTAAAAAGTTTGCCACTAAGTCAATTCCAAAGATTTCTTAATATATATCTCCATATATATATTTATATTTATATTTATATATATAAACTACGTAAAATTTTTCGATTTTGAAGACATTTTCAAATTCTACAGGCTATATAGTAAAACTCAAAAAATAGCCTAAAGCATTGAAAAGACTGGTAAAAATATATACACAGACATTGCAAGCATCTGGTTCCCCAAGTTAAATTTTAGAAATTTTAGTTACCGAATTATATATTAATCAATCAACGTTAAACCCTGAAAAAATTTTTTGAACCCCTGATCTGTACTGATAATGCGTCCAACCCATCTTCCCACTCCCCATTAGACATAAGAATTTATTAAATGATGCATCATAACTTGGGAAATGTTGATTGTCTCAGTTAAACCATATGTTTACCTATTATCCCTTTTGACACCAAATTCGTACAAAGTGACATTGTAATTTAGATCAATATCTCCTGATCTAGTAATCCAATTTGAATGACTATCTACCATTCGAGTCCTCTCGATGAGACGATTCGGATGGTATCAAAATCATCCAAATTGGATTACTAGAACACGAGATATTGCGATTTAATTGATCTACTGTAAATTACAATGTCCTTTTGTACGAATTTGAAAGTCACATTTTTATTAATACCCAAGTGAATTATTCACCCCCTTTAAACCAATTTGCAGCCAACCATTATGAGTCCCATAAGTGGTTTTATGAGTAAAATTTTTTAAAATATTTTTAAAATACTATAATACTGTATTGTGTGAGAAATATCAAATACAGTATCACCCAGGGTGAAATAAAAATTATTATGAATATTTTTATCAATATATATTGTTCACTTTAATTATATTGCATAACTACCATTTGTAAAAAAAAATAAATAAATAAATAAATTTATGTAAAATACTCAATTTTGAAAATGATCTTTGGATTTACCCTATGTAACTTCAAATTAGGTTAATTCATGTTGGGACCGTGATTTAAGACATTCCTTGAAAACACCACAACGATTAAACTGCAAGATCTCCACGTTTATGACCATGACTTAAATCGAGCCAACTTTAATCGTCAGGAAAATGAGATTCGATGTTTTAAATGCGTCAATGTCTTAGAAATATATATAAAAGTATCTCTTTTTCCCTTATCGTTATTGTTATATATATTCCTACTAAATCTTGTCTTTAAGTACTGTACAAAATATATAATTATGAATACGATATTGACACTTATTACGGTAGAGGCTTTTGGAAATATAGTTGAAGAACAATGTGCAAACGTAAAAGTAAATGCCACGGTAAAAATATGTATACTACTATATAAATCAAAATTATACGTGGTATATAGTTTGCAAGAATTTTAAAGTCGCATATACCGAAATATATTCACAATAGTTATTTGTTAAGCATACATTCGAAAATTAAAATTTTCACGACAAAATAAATACGTGAATTAACAAAGCAATGCAAAAATTAATAGTAACGAAAAAAACATCTGTACAGGATAGTTACTATCGTGATCAAAGAATGTGGTAAATTACATATAGAGGAAGCGATAATCACAAAAACCTATTCTTAATATATAAAAGTTTATTCAGCCGGAATAATTACTTCGTAAAGAAAAATTAAATAAAGCGATTATCATGAAATTGCTTATTTTTCTTGAGATTCACCAATTACTTCTTGATGAAGCTGCTCTAACTTAGCCTCCTCATCAGGATCGATTTCTTGATACATTTCTTCATTTCTAACATCTTCGGGAGTGATACGTAAAGCTCTACCGGTACGTTTTTTGTGAATTTCCGAAGCTTTACGAGCTGATTCGATTCGAGCTTCCATACTGCGATCCTACAGATTTAAAACGAAAAAAAATAAGATCGATCCCTTTTACTTATTTGTTTATTTCCAAACTTACTCCACGGTGACTTGCAGCAATGTAAGCTCGTTCTTGATTTTCTACGAAAGTAAAACAAAATACCGTCATTTTAATTACGTAAAATTCTTTATATAAAGTTACGAAGGATAATAAAGAACTGTGTAAATATGCTAACTTTCACTTCTTTCAATACGGATAGTACCTTCGTGAGTTCTTTCTTGGTTACGCTTCTGTAAAGTAGTCATTTGATATCCTAGGAGGGCTAATACGCAGCCTTTTTTTATTATTTTGAATGAAGAAAAAAAAACGGAAAGAGCTTGAATGATTATTATAAATTTAATAAAGAAATTTATATGTTTTTTTTTCTTTTTTTTTTTTTTTTTTTTTAGTAGACTCCCCTGCAAACTATGATTAAATAACATCATAATCATACACAGTTTACGTCATATAGTTAGTAGACAAACGATAGTTAACTGTCCGAAAGTCGATTTGAACATATTCATTCCAAAACCAATCAAATACCATTTCAAGCGAATTGGTAATTAGTTCGTCATATTTAATTGCCAAAAGTAGTTGATGTCTATATGATGTCTTAAGTTTCAAATGTGGAAACTTATGACATATTAATGATCCAATTTGTTAATAGTGACTTCTTTTAAGATACTGCGTGCATTTTTTTTACGGGTTATTATTGACTAAATAATTCGAAATTCCGGTGTATCCAAGCGTAAACATATCTATACTTTATTTTAATAATGAACGTGGTGTTAATATTAACACTTTATTAATAGTTCATTGATTTGATCTTTAATTTGTACAGTTTACTTAACCTGATTAAGCTAATTTTGAAGATATAACAAGCTTCGTTATATAAGTTACTATTTAACAACCCCATTTTTTATTATGGTAGTACTACATAATATTGTTTTTAGAACAATCTTATCGTTATTAATTAAAGTTATATATTAAATCAAGTAAATAATACAAATATTTGTTATAATTATTACTATATAAAAATTTAATATAGAAGATTTTACGTTGATATATGAAATTGTAACTTTGTAATAGTGGCAATAAAGAATTAATTTGTACAATAAACAAAACGTGTTACCCATGCATCTAAAAATATTTGTTAATTTTACATACAAAAAAGTGCCTTTGCATAATTTATCTTAAAAATGTCACTGATTATTAGAACATATATAATTTTGATTTATACAGTAGTAATACAGTAGTATATCGAACACCTCAATGCTACGTGCGATAAAACGGTGTAAAATTATAAAAAATATATATGTATCAAGTGATTCATACGATTTTTTAAATTATTTATTGCTTCAGTCTGACGTAACTAAGTTTTTTGATGCAAAACCTCATAACCATCGAGACCATCTATGGACGTTTAAAAATTGCTAATACATGTGATTTTAAATACGTAATTAAACTTTACATAAGCTTATGAAAAATTTAAATACGTCACATGCGGAATCAACTTGTTACATTAAATTATCTCATGAATCAAAAAATAGTAGAAAAGAGCTTATAAAGGAGGTAAATGTTTGATCAAAGGTTTTATAAATTTAGTCATGTATACATATTCATATTCCCTAAATGCATGGCCTTATTTGGCCCCAACTCATATGACACATGGACTTTTATCTCCCTAAATGCAAGATTTTTTGGCCGCCCCATGGCTATGCATTTAGAAAGTTCTGACTGTATTATTCAGTTACGCTTTTTTAATAAAAAATCATGCAATAACGATAACACTTATTTAATTAATGAGAGGATTCGAATAATATTAAAATCTTAAGGTTCAATTACATGGTTTTAATTATTCAAAAAGCATATTTTCTTGTTTTCCACTCATTACTAATTACTATTCAGTTATGAAAATTTATATCGATATTTGTTTAATCGCATATTTAAATACGTATTAGATCTAAAAATATGTATCGATGAAGATATATTTAGTTATGCATGCATCAATCAATATTTAGATTGAAAATAGTGGCTTTAATAATGTAAGGGATATCAGCAGGTTAGTTATATTGACCGATGCCAGCAGGTTAGTTGTATTGACCAATGGTCACTTGTATACATAGCTGCTGATGAATTTATTTCTAATAACTAGGCACAAAAGTGAGCGAATCAAAAGTGCAACTATTACACGCGTATGGACAGACAGGTTATAAAAAATTACACTTTTGATTATGTAACTATTGATACATCAAAAACGTAACTATGAATCCCTAAAACCCACTTGTATATTATAAATTGTCTTTTAAAGAATAAGGTAAAAATATATATATTATACAAATTAATGCAAATTTCTAAGATCAAAATTCACGTGATACTCAATAATGTTGTTAGCCGAAATTGGTTGAAATATTTTGACATTTGATATTTGTCTGCCGAAATTCTAACGAATTTTAATTTTATGCCGAAATGTCTAAATTAAAAAATATGAACTTATTTATTAGCAAGTATCCGAACTGTTTATTTGTGGATTTCGCCCTATATATCTAATATAGATTTAAAAACGGTTCTTGCCCCTATCAAGCAGGTTTAATTATATAAATATTGAATATATAACGATGAGAATTAAATATATAGCGATAGGTATTCTGTATTCAAAAATATCTCATTTATATATAAATCTAAAGATTTTATTTTACCACTAATTTAGACATTTAGTCATATAGTATTTATTTAGTCAATTATTTAGTCATTTCGTCAAATTTAAAATTTTGACATTTCGACAAAAAAGAATGTCATGTCGAAATATATTTCGACACAAAATTGTCCGAAATAGGTATTTCGACTAACAACATTAAATATATATAAGGCGGAATTAAGGAATATAAAAGGGCCGAAAGTTTCCGAAAAGAAAATATAATTTTGAGAAAATTTCCGATATTTCCCAAAGACTCTTACTAAAACGCGCTTATGGTGGTTTACATCTATGTTTATATTATCTCAAAACCTGGTTAATTAATCAATGCAAGATGTCCAAAGATGTCCTAAGTAAAAATGCTCTACGCTCCAAAAAACTTTCTTAAACCTAACCCTAACCCTAACCCTAAATACTAACACTAACATAAAAATTTTTGTGTTGAACTTAAAAATAATAAAACATATGATGGTGCAAATGTGTACAAGATTGTGCTCCGAATGATGATGTGATAGTCCCGACGACCACTTAGTTGAATAAATTCCGATTTCATTAATACCAACAATGTCAAACTGTTATAAAGTCAACTTTTCTTTGCATATTACTTTTAGTTGTTATTAAAGAAGGATTATATATTTTTTTTATTTACTGATTCTACTTCAAATTTAGTATAGCTAGGCAATATAGAAATATTATAAGATTATAATATAAAAAAATCTAACCCTAACTCTAATCTAACTCTAATTTAAACTAAACTATAACTCTCACTCTAACCCTAACTATTTATAAATTTGCTTAAATTAGTTTAAATAGATATTTTATATATTATAATCTTATAATAATTCTATATTGCCCAGTTATACTAAAGATCAACCAAGGTTTTTAAATAGCTTGTATTTTGCAAGAATTGGTTTTTTTTTTAAAATAGTTTGTAGTATTATTTTGCTTATAGTAAATATTTATAGCCAACTCTTTTTATAACAAGCTGATAGTATAAAAAGAAAAAAGTTTATTATAGAAAGTTTATTGTACTATATAAAGTCAGTTAACTATGCATTAGAAAAAAAAAAGTTTATTAAATTCTTTATTTTTTTATTATTTTTTTTTAATCTTTGGCAATTCTGCCTTTATTATCTTAAGAGTATGGTATCAAAAACCAAGTTATGAACAAAGAGCCTGCAACAACTAAATGCCTTTAACCCTTCTATTTTGCAATAAAGACTCACTTGGCTGCTTTTAGGAGTGTCCAAGTGTGATTTGTCACAGCAATATATACTCTTATCTTTGACATCTAACTTACTAGATGATTTCTTATTGAATCACTAAAAGCTTATTGCTGGCTTTGTTAAGATTGTCTTTTTTTTACTAATTTTCCTTCTTTAAAGAGGCATAGAAAATAGGGAGATAAAATAAAAAAACAAAAAAAAAATAAATACAACTAAAAAAGTAGAAAAAAAAAAAACAAAGAAAAATAAAAAAATAATAACAAATATGAAAAAGTGATAAAAAAAGAGAAAATGACAAAAAAAAAAAAACAAAAAAAGTAGCAGAAAATTCTGTCTTTTAGATCTGACTATGGCACTATTATTACTTATGCTTAGCTAGAAAAAATTATATAACAAATACAATATTTGTATATTCCTGCTATAAAGTTTAGCCTTATCATTTAAATTTTCCTACTAGATTATTTAGACTTCAAAATAATGTAAATAGCCAAAATCGGTATTACATAAAATAGCACAAACTGTAAACAAAACAAATCAGACATGTGATTATAGTCTGTTGAAGCTGTTCAGATTTGGGAGATATAAACAATACTGATTTTTTAAAAGGGGTAAGCTATTTTGCCCACTTTTGTGGAAAATTTTGGAAAAACAGTGAGAAGGCAGAGAATAAAGATAATACCACTTGTTTTGTTTAATAAAAGAGTTTGTATTTTTTAATAAATGCAATAGCAATCTATAATACTCCTATTTAAGAGCAGGAAGATGCAGAGACTGTTCTTTTTAGTGAGTGATAAACTCTGGGCTTGTTGGCAAATAGCATAAGAGAAGTATTTCTAAATAAAAAATGCTATCTCTTATGGTAAGTAATAAACTCTAAAGAAGTTAGCAGGTAGTATATAAAAACTAAATAACAACTGCCGGCTTATAAACTTGCTTTCTAACTATTTTTAATCTCTATAGACACTTGTATTTTACTAATAAAAATTTTAGATTTTTAATAAAAGTGATTATTATATTAAATTCTTTAGTTTTTAAAACTTTTATTAAATAAATATATAAATCTATTAAGTAATTTTTTTTTGTTAAAAAAAAGTTTGGTAAACAATTTTTATTAATATAATTTATTGTATAAAGAATAAGTAGTTTGTTAATTGCAAAGTAATATAATAATTAGACTTTATTGTTCAAAATCTGTACAACTCTCTCTGACAATCACTCGTACTAAATTTTCTTACCGAACAGAAACAAAAATTTTGTTGGAGAAGGCTAGAAGTAGAGTGGTTAGCACAAAGTAGGTAGCATCGCCATTAGTATTTCATAATAAGGTGCACCATGGCATGTTAAT